TCATTATAACCTTATTATTATACATCTTTTCCTTCCAATGATACATCATGGGAATGCCGAATTACAAAAAGTTTAGAACAGAATCACCAAACTTCTTTGTGTGGAGTCCGGTCAAACCCTGGTGGCAGCCAGGTTTGCTTTTATTATTAGAGGATACTTACATGCGTAATCATTCCATATTTGGAATTCGCATTTCCTAATATGGTAGGATGAAAATACCCAGCAAAATTATTTTGTGACATATGTATAATAATATGATTTATCAATAGCAATTTAACTGATAGTGAAGGTTGTGTAATAGTACAATGTTTCAGTCATTGCAGCACATCGTGCATGATGTAGGTCACATGTGACATATAAATAAAGTTCAAAGTTCATCTGTTCACATGAAATTTCAACGTGTTCTGCTTGACTGCTGTGGCTCTTTATAACATCACCCGCTGAAAGCCTCTATGGGTAACCCAAATGTAAAGGGGAAAAACGACGTCAACAAGAGATGTTTTGTGTAACACCTCCAAATTGAATGTTTCTGGTTGGGATATCATTAAAAAGAGAAAGTATTTTATATTTAAGAATGTTGAAAATATATTTAATATAATTTTTGTTGTAATGCTGCCTACATGACTCAACTATCATTATTTTTTGACATTTTAAACGTTTGTTGCTCTAAAATGTTGTTCTTGATATGAAAACTTGTCACTTTTATTTTCATGTTTACAAAATGTAATGGTATACAATCACATACACGGGATTTACTTTTCTCTTGTAGAGGACGAACTAGTGAAAAGTTGTACAATGTTTTACGTAGCGAAAGATTCCATGAAATAAAATAAAAAAGATGATAAGGGACCTGAATGTGTTGCCATGGTAGCAATGACTTTGTTATTCCTCATGACATTAAGCCATACTCTGTTGGCCATTTTGAATTGAGAATTGGTCAAAATACATTCATAGTTCAAAATGTTTTTTCTTGTAAATATGTCAGGAAATTGCTGTCAAAATTGTATTAATTATTTCTTTATGTTTATATATTGTCTATTCTCTTGTTTTTTTGCATCAGAGCATTTTTTCTTATTTTTTAGCTTCACTGTCATAAACAAAATGACCAAGTAGAACTATTCAAATACTGACTGAATGTTGTTCTTTGTTCACAAAATTTATATTACCATAAACGAGATAGCATGGAGTGATTCTATATCTGACTATATATTTCATAATTATAATATATATCTGCCTTTCTTTATTAGCAAATGTTTGTTTCTAAATTAATCAAAAATCAGTGTTTGGAAAAATTTATAGAGAATTGCAAATTGTTATGTTGATGTTTCAACTTCAAATTGTGAGGGTATTTGACAACTTTTTGAACAATTTTTTGCTGCCAATATTTTGGTACAACAAAGTTTCATGGGTAAACATTGTATATACGCTATAAACGCTTTTATTGACTTTTTAGTTCTGACGTTTTGACAGCTTTCTCGAGCGGGATATGCAGTCTGTAATCAATGGTGTTATTTGTTAGATTCTTAAAAATATATTATTTTTCTCCTGCATCTCATTTAAACCCAAGATACCCGAGGGTCTAATGTACTTAATTACTATGCTATGTCCATATCGCAAAATAATATTTTGGCTGATTTTAGTTGACAGTTGATTTTGCTCCTTTTTTTGAAGTAACTTGCTGTTTTATGTGATATTTTCACCTACTTCGTATCCATGAACATATCACCTTGCTTGTACATGTACGAATGTATACAATTTTGTGTTTTTTGGTGGAAAGTCAGTTGATGAGCATGGGAGGGAGGGGGGTGCGCACTGTTTGAAGGTTCAGGAGTGAATGGTTTGTTTGTTTGTTCATAGTATTATAGTGCTGAACATTGCCTTTACCATTTTCATCACCAAACTTTCTCCCCCAAATTTTTCTGCACTTTTTAGTCCCCGTTCGGACGCAGTCCGAAAGCGGGGACTTATGTTTTGACTTATGTTTTTGTGTGTTCGTGCGTGCGTGCGTCTTTGCGTGCGTCCGGACCTGTTTCTTAGAAATGCCTGGACCAATCACAATCAAACTTCACACATACATCATACATGATATTATACATAGGCACGTCAATTTGTTTCACGATCTGATACAAGATGGCCGAATGGCGGCCATTTTTGTGCTAAAAATCATCAAAATCAAGCATTTTTCGGCTGTTTACAGATGGATTTTGTTCAAAATTGGTATATACGTTAGACATTATAGGACCTTGATGCACATCATTTTGCTTTACAATCTGATTCAAGATGGCCGAATGGCGGCCATTTTTGTGCTAAAAAATCATAAAAATCAAGCATTTCTCGGCTGTTTACAGATGGATTTTGTTCAAACTTGGTGTACACATTAGACATTATGGGACCTTGATGCAAATAATTTTGTTTTTCAGATTAGATTCAAAATGGCCGACTGTCGGTCATTTTGTTTTAATGAATGGGCTTCTAGAGCCATATCTCTGACTTGTTTTGATCGATTATGTTCAAATTTTGAATATTCATTATACATCATGTCATAGATAGACAGATATATTGGTTTGACGATCCTATTCAAAATGTTCGAATGGTGGTCATTTTTGTGCTAAAAAATCATCAAATATCAAGCATTTCTGGCATTTATGGACAGATTTCGTTCAAACTTGGTACATACATTAGACATTACGGGTTCCTGATGCACATCATTTTATTTGTTAGATCAGATTCAAAATGGCTGTCTGGCGGCCATTTTGTTTTAATGAATGGGCTTCTAGAGCCATATCTCCGACTTGCTTCCACTGATTATGTTCAAATTTTAAATATCATTATACATCATGTCATAGATAGACAGATGTATTGATTTGACGATCCTGTTCAAAATGGCCGAATGGTGGCCATTTTTGTGCTAAAAAATCATCAAATATCAAGCATTTCTGGCATTTATGGATGGATCTCGTTCAAACTTGGTACATATATTAGACATTACAGGTTTCTGATGCACATCATTTATTTTCCAGATCAGATTCAAAATGGCTGTCTGGCGGCCATTTTGTTTTTATGAATGGGCATCTAGAGCCACATTTCTGACTTGTTTTGACCGATTATGTTCAAATTTTGAATATTCATTATACATCATGTCATAGATAGACAGATATATTGGTTTGACGATCCTATTCAAAATGTCCGAATGGTGGTCATTTTTGTGCTAAAAAATCATCAAATATCAAGCATTTCTGGCATTTATGGATGGATTTCGTTCAAACTTGGTACATACATTAGACATTACGGGTTCCTGATGCACATCATTTTATTTGTTAGATCAGATTCAAAATGGCTGTCTGGCGGCCATTTTGTTTTAATGAATGGGTTTCCAGACCCATATGTCTGACTTGTTTTGACTGATTATGTTCAAATTTTTAATATTCATTATACATCATGTCATAGATATACGAATATATTGGTTTGACGATCCTTTTCAAAGTGGCCAAATGGTGGCTATTTTTGTGCTAAAAAAATTCTCAAATATCAAGCATTTCTTGCATTTATGGATGGATTTTGTTCAAACGTATAACATACATTAGAGATTACAGGTTCCTGATGCACATCATTTTATTTTTCAGATTGGATTCAAAATAGGCCATTTTGTTTTAATGATTGGGCTTCGAGAGCCATATCTCTTAAATGCTTTGACTGATTATATTCAAATTTTATATATTCGTTATATATCATGTTATATATATATATATATATATATATATATATATGTATACATGTATTCAAAATGGCTGATTTTGAATGCTGTTCCAGAGCAATATCTCTCAAAATGGTACTTGTTTGATGATCAAATACAAATGTCAATCATTTTAATGTTAAAAAAAATCATATACCTGACATGGTTATATTCCAGCTATATTACTATAAACAAAACTATATATCTTAAATTTGATAACTAACAGGGACTGTGCCATGCATGGCTTGTTTCCTATATTCTTCAATATTTCTGGAAATGAACCCTAATTTTGCAGCTAACAGACAAAATTTTAGTAAATTTTTAGTTTTTACTCGAAATAAGTTGGCTATTTTTGTCCCAATCTTCTGAAGAAAAGTACAGGCTAGGCTGTAAACAGGACTAGATGGTGAATTTGTGATGAAAAGAAATAACTGATGGTGAAAAAGTTGAAGAAGCAAATAGAGTATATTCTATCAGATACCCTGAGATTAATATAGTTTATGTGATTTTATATAGTTACAATTAAATATTATTTTATTTTTATTTTTCGCTGTGGACACAGTATAGTTATATTGGCGGGAAAAATTACATACTTTGATGAAATAATTTTTTAAGCCACACAATGACTTGTTTTACCATAAAATTAAATCAATGTCTTTCATTTTACAGACTTTGAAAAAGTACAATGATCCTGACAAAATAAACAAGGTAATTTAGAGACGGGGATTACCATCGCCATAGTAACTGACATTTTCAGATTATGTTCTATTTTCCATTGTCAAATTTTGAATTATTCATGGTGATATGGGTTAAAAAATTTAAATGAAGTAATCCATAGAATACATATAGAAATTGGTTAATAAAGTTAGCAGTAGGAAGTACCTGTATTGACAAAGAAAAAACCTGTTATTATGTAATTTGTGTTCATTAGTCTTTTACATCTCCATTTCACCAAAAAAAAAACATCTTGAAAATAAAGCAATTATTAAAATTATTATTTTTTATTCCAGATGTTAGAAAAATTTCCAGAATCTGGAAAAATGATGGAGGTAAAAATGTTATTTTTATATGGGAAATAAGGAAATGTTTTATGGACACCTAATTACCATAAAAACTCAATTAATTTGTGCACCCCTTTCATTTTCAAAAGCTGATTCATGTTAACAAAAAAAGTTTATAATTTTCTTTTTTTATTTTGCAACCTGAAATCAATCATAATAAGAATATTAAGAAAAAAATTAAAGCTAGTTGCAAAACATGTTTATTATGTTCTCCATCGTCACACCGTAAATACTTCCCTGGTATTGCTGGGTATCAATAAAACATTCATCAAAATGTGAACTTCATTCTTTTACTCAGGGCATACAATATATCAATAAACAGAATTTCATACATAGGGCTAGCCAAATAACATTTTAAGACAATCCATAGATCCTAACATATCAATCATTGGATATTAATTAATAAATTTAACTTTGTAATACCTCTGGTAATTTTTTGGAAAGCAATGCTACTTCTCGTCTTTGTTGTAAATTGGATGTTGTATTGTGATTTTTTGGCAGATTTGCATATTGTTTCACTAGCAAAGCTTCACCCTAAATTGCTGTGTCGTGTATGTGAACTTCTCACTCAACTAATTTTTGCTGATGATCAAATCATAGCAAATGTTTCGTTTTCTTTTTTATAAAAAAAATGAAAGTCTCAATTTATTGAGTTGACATATATCATTAATTTACATGTATGCACAAAAAAATATTCCATTTATATGCTATTAATTGAACTATTAATTATTTTACTGCCAAATAATTGAGTTTTTACGATATTGTCACCCATTAACTGTCATCAAATGCAATGCAATATGACAACCCTCATAATACAATGAATACCAAGTTAGGGCCATCAAATCACTGCCCATTGGCGCAATGAACTTTGACTGCCTATTAAATTGTCATTGAATTCACTGAAACTCAGTCTCCAATAAATATCCATCAAAATTAAGTCTAACCTACATATATACATTTTGCAAAGGGAAACCCTAAAACTGAGTCCAATAAAAGTATTTTTAAGAGCATAGTTTGTTGAGGTTCTTATAATATTGATAATTTTAATAAATTCCTTGCTAATATTCCTCTGTAATTAGACGCATGAGTAAAGAGGTAATACACTGTATTAAATACATATCTCTTGTGTACTACACATCAAAACGTTTTATTTTGCCTTACAGATGATGCATGTTTATCAGTCTGATCCACGGCCAGAAAAAATCAAAGAGGTAATTCTGGATAGTGTCCAGCTGTATGCAATTCTGTGGGTTCTTCATAAACAAAACAGTGTTACATGTATTATATCTGCCCAAGGAAGAACATGGAGACACAACTGCGGCAATTGTTTTTAATGTACATTGTGATTTGTATGCAAAGCAGATAGAAGTCTTACAAATTATTTTACCATATTTTTTTTAAATTTGTCTAAAAATGAAAAAAAAATTATTTTACTTCCTAATCCAAGCTAATTTGCCAACTAGTTGCCGTAGAGGCCAACTTTTTGCCATAGTAGGAATCTTGTTACCATAGTGGCCACCTTGTTGTTATATTGTTCAAAAAATAATCTTCTATTTTAATGTGTTGCCAACTGTTTCATGAACATGTCTGACTGCACTAGGTTCATTTAAACTTTATATATAGACTATTTCAAGACCACAAATGCTGGAATGACAATCTTTTTCCTGAAATAGTATTGAATTACCATTTGTGTATTTATCACATCAACTTTGGCATTTGGGTCGCCCAACTATCCTGTTTGCGCTACCCAACTCACATTTACATCCTCCCAAAAAACAAGGGGTGTTTAAAACAGTTGATGCAAGTGTGTTGATGGGAGTGTGATGGAAAGACATTGAAACCCCGACTCGAATGCATCAATTGTTTATCAAGCAGATTCATTTCATGTGTATATGAACATACTTGTGACTGTTTCATGTATTGAAGTCAACACAATGGTGAAAGTTTTTTTGCTTATCTTTCAGTCATTTTTAAAACTGTTAACAGTCATTACATCATACTTTTCTTTCTTCTACACGTAATTTGGAAGAAGGATTAGGTAGCGCAATACACTTATATCACACCAATTTGTCATTGTTAGCGATTGATTGTAACATTGACGACACTTTACCATGGATTCATTGTAATGTTTCTTAGATTTGCTTCATTCATAAATCTGCCTCTAATTAAGCATTAATCTTCATTATTTTCAGCTTTCATTGCCACAAAAGGCAATTTTTTTGAATGTTTGATCCAGACCCATAAAATAATTTGTACATCGTATTCATAAATCATTTACAAGCAATTAAAACTCGAGTATCTAATGCATTTTGTAAAAAAGAAACATGAATTTAATTTTTTTTTTTTTTATTTCAAGACATATTTTAGTCATTTTTTATTATTAACTACTACTTTTTGAAAACTATCAGTTACTGAGAAAACAGATTTTGGATCCAAGTTTATCAAAAAAAAATCATTTTTTTGCTAGGTTGGTACATGTACCACCCTCCATTCTACGAAATACTTACACATCAATCTATTGTATCACTGCACAAGCTTCGTATCTACTTTTCAAATTTATAATTAATTTAGGTAGAAAAATTACCTATATAAACCATTATATGTTTCATTCTACTGTAATATTATAATACCATCTACATGTATGTTCACTGTACATGTACTATGTTTACATGTTAGCTGTATACCATGTTTTTTGTGTGTGTGTATAAGTGATATGCTAAACTTTGAGAACGGTAATTTACATCACATATCATGGTTTATTACTTTATAGGAATGAATTAAAGTCATGTCTCTGACATCGTTAGTTATTTGTCTTATTTTTATTTTTGACAGATTGTTGAGGCTATGCCACACACGCCGGAAGTCGCCTTATTCGTGAAAAACCTGGGACCCTTTTTTGAGGCCATTACAGACAATGGCCCAATGGAATTGAATGCAAATGAAAAGCCATTACTTCCTAACGGCAATGCGACGATAGGAAACAGCGAAAGTTCAGAAAATGAGACGCATCCATTTGATGTATCCCTGTCAATGCTGGAAACGACCGGTCAAGAAAATGGAACTCACAAGTTTGACCTTGAAGGGACGGAGGGTATGTCAATTTTTTTATTATTTTCTCAGTGTTACTAGTTATTAACCTACATAAAAAGATTCTGAAAATAAATCTATACAGTGAATTTCATAAAGGCATGAATATTTTTTTTTTTAGAAATTTTAAAAATATTTATAAAACATTTATCTTTGAGGGGGATCCTCACGCTTCATTCAAATCCAAAAAATTACTTTTGGTGGCTGTAGAAATCATCCATTACCCATTGGTCAATTCACTGCAACACGTTGTTGATTGGTCAAATTGTTTGCAAATCATCATTTGAAGTTTTTAAAACAGTTGTAAATATTTTATATAAAAACATTCATGCATTAATGAAATTCACTGTATCACCCAAATGTTAGTTTGTAGTGTTCTATTTCAAAATAGCAGTGACCACAAATTTCATCAATGATTTTATGGGACTTGTTTCAGTGTGTATTTTACATATTCAAGACTATCATATGGAAGTCTATTTAGCAAATACTTGAATTTGATTTTGAAATAGGCATCATATACAGTTGAAAAGTTTACAGTCCAATATCAGCAAGATGTTGGTATTTCAACGTGATAATAAAATAATACTTGGTGATTTTAATGTAATATTGATTGGTTTTAATTTCATTGGTAATGACAAGTATATAACAAGTTTCAAATAAAAACAAAACCCATTGCTTTAGGAGAAAATAATCACAGTAGTGTAATCTAATCACAAGTGAATAATGTTGATTATTACTATAGTCATGATTATAATAACTCAATTCATTATGATTTCCTATGAAATGCAAGTTTTATTTTATAAGTTCTCAATGTGAAAGTACATCGACCATGCACATGTGACCTGAAAACTCTGGTCTTTGACCTAATAGGTCTAGCTAAATGCTTCTTTTAAAAAAAAACATACAATTTTCCAGTAAAATCCTGAAACTTTGATGATAATATTTGCTTCTTTTTGAGTTACCTTTCTAATGGAGCAAATATGGTAATTTTATATTTTTTCTATCATAGAAGAATCGCTAACTGAGGAGGAAGAAGACGAAGATGATGACGTGGAAGAAGAAGATGAAGAGGAGGTAAGATCTGAAGAAGAAGAGTTAGAAAATGGCGAGATGAAAGAAGATTCTATGAATGATGGGAGAGATGATGGGAGAGATGGGGGGAATAGTGGAATTGATGAGAATGGTGGTGAAGAGGTTGCGTTAAATGAAGATTTACATATTGTTGACAACAAAGCATACGTGATGGAGGTCAAACCCATAGATAAATCAGCTGTGTCAGTTAAAAAAGAGAAAAAAGACTCTGAGAGTGACGAAGGTAAATACATTGTATTTTTCATTCAAGGGAAATGTTGATGTTTATCCCTTCCTCATATGTATTTTAGTTTGTACAGGTGAATGATTGCATCTTGCCCACAAGTTGTAGATTTAAATTGTATTAGATGCACAACAGCTTTAATTAATTGGTGTATTATTCCGCATCACTAAACATATCCTGTATCGCTGATGGAAAATACATGTCTTTCTTGAGCGAGACATCTATTAACAACAAAATGACTGTACGTTCTAAAGTGGGCCTGTATTCCTAATAATATTAATCTTAATAAATTTGTACATCATTGGCGGAATTTCAAGTGATACGATATTCAATTTTTTGGGAGTTATACTCCCGTTAATGTTGCCATAACAATAGTGCTGCCTGCCAATGGTGTCTGCTCACTATCTAAGTCTGGCTCGCATCTTACGGAACTATTGGGTAGTATTCTGTGAGCTGCTGCCATTCTACTGATGTTATCAAACAGGAAAATATTTTACAAAATCTGTGTATACAGAATTAAAGAACAATTTAATCCCATATTGGTAATTCCACATGCCAAGTGTCAAGGGATGTGATATAAGATTTTTATCTGCTGTCCATTGACAGCTTTATTGTGTAACTGATCATGTATCAACTTTTCATGAATGACATTTCTTCTTGAAAACTACTCTTCAAATTGCTTTTGTATTTGGTGTGTAGTTGCCTTGGGTGACCCCCTCCAATTTTGTCATTTCGTGCCAATATCATAAATTATCACCATTTTCAACAAATAATTTTTAAAAACTATCAGTCAGATAATGCCGATAATGCTTGGTAGCGTTATTAATTCTGAGTCTTGTAAATCAATATATATGAGTGCAGAGCTGTCTCGAGTAAAAGGTCATTTGTTCATTTTTTGCCAACCTCATATATGGTGAATTGTAAGAGAAAAGTAACAATGCGCAAGTCAATGTGGGCATACATGTATGTGGACCAACTTTTACACTTATGTGAAATTGTTGTAGTTGCATTATTCAAACTCATGAAATCAAATTAAATATGTTATTATTATTCTCAGATGGTTTTGTCCGTGTAAATGGTGAATACATGAATGGGGGTTCGTCACCAAAACTGACTGTAGCCGAACCCACGTTCCCGCATGCACTCACAAGTGATACAGACAGTGGCGATGAGATATTCTGTGATTCAGTGGAGAAACAATACATCGAAGATGAGGAGGCAAGTCATATAATTGCAGTTAAATTGTCAAAACCACATCTTTCTGTCATTTCTACAAAACCCATTGCTTAATTCATGAGTTTCTCAAGTTGCTACTCGCATGTGACGAAAAAATGTAGGGGGTTTATTTTATAACCAGTCAATCGTCATTTTACATTTTGAATACATGTTTGTTCCCCTTGTATGTTGCCCCTCCCCCTCCCAGAGATTTCTGACATGTATAAATGCCAACGTATTATATTTTGTTCTGTCTTATTGAGTGTATAAATGTAGAATTTCGTTTTCATTTAGTAAAATTTTAATGGTAACAATTAATCACAAAACTGAAGTTGGTATCTGCCTAAAACTGCTTACTCTTGGTGACTGAAGTGTATCAATGTTTTCACATTCATGGTAACTAAGCAACAAAAATAACTGGAAACACAGCTGTTCACGTGTGCCTATAATATAGGAAGTAATGTTCAGTAAAGCTTGCTTCTTCTTCTTCACTGCCAGCTTTCATATATTCCTTCTCTCATGTACGTGTATGTGTTGCTATGCTTTGTCACATTGCAGATACCTAAACTTATACCGTCTCCAGACATGCACGATGTGGTTACTTCAACACCAAATAAATCTAGTTTTACCGTACAGGCAGAAGTCTATGACAAGCCGTCTGTCAGGTTTAGAAAGCCGGAGATTTCTCACATCATGGATGGTAGAGACTCTGTGGTTAGACATGGAGGAGGGGGAGGCGGTGGCGGTGATGAGAGAGGTGGTAGTCATGGTAACAATGAATCACATAGTAGAGAAAGTCAGGGAGGGATGAGAGGCGGACACAGAGGTAATCAGCTATGTTTAAAATAATTTCTGCTCTAGAATATTTGCCAAGTGCTCAGTAAACAAATGTGAAAAAACTCTTATTGGAACAATCTAATTGATGTTTTGATGTCAAATCTTTGTTTGTATGCTATGTACAAAATCAATACTTTCAGTTCATTCACATCCAATCCATCTTGTTGCCAAGAAAAACTTTCGAATTGTATTGAAATGTGTGGTTGGAAGACAATGCCAATAATTCAAAATTTTGCTTTTTAGGGTCTCCTCACAGAACACCGTTGTCGGGGAAACCATCCAGAGGTACAGGAGCAACCGGAGGCAGTGGTGGGCGTGGAAACAGACAGAACTCACCTCCGAAGGGTGACGTTAATGAACAAATAGCTGTGGCCTTAGAAAGATTACAACAAGACATGAACAGTGTCTTAATTAGATTAAATACTTTAGAAACTTTATCACTCAGACAACAGGTACAGTAAGAATCTTTCATAAGCGAAAACAAATCATTATTGAATAGTTCAGATACTGTGTATGGTTACCAAATATATTATGTGAAGACATTCAAGTGACTGTGCAGTGATTTTGTATTACTTGTTTTTGCACGTATTAAACAGTATCCATTTTGAGAGTAAAGATACCAAAGTTGTAAAAAAAAAACACATTTTTACGAGATTCGTATATGTGCGTGGGGCCGTTCGCATTCAGTGACTAGATCCTTGTGTCAAACACTACGTTGCTGTTGCATCCGATGTAAGTGGTAAGAAAGTGATAGAACTTAATGGGGAACCACTCAATCCCATGGATTGCACTAAAGAATCATGGGACACTATTGTTTATGTTGTTTACAAAGTTAATCTATCTTTTGTTATCCATTGTAATTTTAATCCAGAAAGTAAATTTGTTGTGAGATTAGGCTTAACTGGAAGTGCTCCTTTAAAATAGATATGACACACGTGGGACATTTCTAACACCTCCTAACCTGTTCTATTTATTGTTCCTCTGCCAGATGTATAATCATTAGATGTATAATCATTTCTTTCACCTGTGTTTTTTATTGACATGTGTTTTATGCGCGTTCTGTTACAGACTGAGACTCAGCAAGGGGGAATGTGGGCAGGAGCACGTTATCCCACTTCTCAGGAGCAGACACCGTCGTCATGGTGGCCGTTGAGTGGCATGTCAGGAAAAACTGTATTTTTCATTATTGTATGGCCCTTTATTTGCAACTGGGTCATTAAGTATTTAGCACGGAGGCGGCAAGGTCGTCGGCTCTAGTTGATGGGCTTTCTCTGGAAATTTTTTGCATGGATTTTTGAAACAGGTGCGGTCAGCTTTCGACATGTGATAGTGAACAGTTAACGGGATAATGAACACTTGACATGTTGATGAACATCTGACATGTCGGGATAATGAAAATGTCACATGCGATAATAAACAACTGATGTGATAATGAACACTTAACATGACGTCTGACATGGAATGATGATTATCTTACATGCGATAGTGATCATCTGACGTGCGATAATAAACTTCTAACGAAGATCTAGCAATTCATGATGAACACTTATTGATATTGAACAACTGACCAACTGAGCACAAAACATGTGACACCATGATCGAGTGAATACCAAAAACTCAGTACTTCCCCGTACTGATTAGGATTAAACTTACAGATAATTCCTGACGATTACCGGTATATACAACAGCACTGGTCAGTACTACAGCCACAAATGTCACGTTCAAGGTCAACTTATTCATCGTCTGTGATGTGATATCCTCAATAATATGACTGCCTCAATGAAACCTTGAAATACTGCATGATGCTATGCATCAATTTATTGTTGTCTTGTATATGGCATACTCATTGTAGAAAGATACAGATTAAACTCTGTAGTACAAAGTATATAATGTTTGGGATCAGCTGCTAATCTAGGTGTTCTTAGTAGTTCAGTGGTACTGTGAACTATGCAGTATTGCTTGAACTTGACCTGTCACGCACATTCACGCATTTATCGCATTTGCACATGCCCATTTAACATATTAGTATTGCCCGCTCTTAACATGCTTAGAGCACACATTACCATCAGGCATTTTACTGTAGCACCCTGAGAATCGAATAGATTCAATTAGCCATGCTAATATTTTTTTTATTGAAAAATGTCTTTAAAGAAAGTAACTCGCAGGCATGGGCGCTCATACATTTAGGAGTCAGCTGGGGTTTTTTGTGTTTTCCTAGACTAACTCAAGATCGAGCATCACTGTTTTGTTCGAGTGTGCGACACACAAATTTTAATGCAATAAATATGTGATCCAAATGCTATCAATGTGCATTGGGAAAACGATGTTTACAACACCCCATTTTGATAATATGCAACCCTAATGTGGTATATGTGTGATGCAAATGCATTTATAACGACAGGTTGCTTGAAACCAGACATGTGATGTATGTTTCATATCTGTAGATAGAGTTTCATAGTGTATTTGAGTTCTGAATTGTGCATCATGTGGTTGACCTGCTCATTTTGAAAACCAAATTACATCATTCTTATAAAATCATGCATCTCCGCCGCTCAATCGTAAATTCAAACAACTGTTGAGTCAGCGATTCATCTAAGCACTAAATTTGTTTGTATTACTATGGCAACATGGGTAAAATATCTGGCATACAGCAAAATTAACATTTTTTTTTAATCAATGTTTTTAGTGGCCCTAGTGCCTAAACTGTGAAGATAGTGTTATCTTTAGATGACTGTTTTTAAATAATATCAACAAATGTGATGTGCTGCATAACTGAGTATGTGCATGATCAACACACAATGAGAATGTTGCACATACGTCTACAATTTAATACAGGGAGAGGTTTAGTTACCCAAAACATTTCTGAATGTTTCCACAGTTTCTGTCACTCTGTGAGTCTCTTCATAGTACTGTTGGTGAAAAACATTTTTGACAAATGCAATCAATTGATCCATTCTGCGCAAATTTGTCAAAACCAAAATATATTTTGCATTTAATCAATGGACAACTTAAAAAAACACACACCATTGTACATATGTAGACTGTTTGTTTTTTTTGCACATAAGCAAACATCACCAAATTAAAAACATTCAAATAATTTAATACCATCAAATTCATATGCATGTACATTGCATGCAAAGTTGTGAAATGAAATACTCAACATATTTATGGTTTTGAACCCAATAAAGTTCAGTGTGCAATAATACAAAACGATATATGGTTATGATCCCTACAGGTTGCGAGGTGACTTTTATGTTGATTAGCTTCTAGATATGAAATCCAAATCTAAATAAGAAATCCTTCAAGACTTGGTATGTAGGTATATTCTTTTTGGGAAATTTATAATTCTCCTGTGGGGTATGGACTCAAAAATTGACTGTCTAAGTTTTCCTGAATTTGAAAAATACATCAGCGCTTTGGAATGTGGTCGTGTTATACAGAGATATACCGGTACTGACATGTAGTTTTTTTTGGTTTTAATTCAAGGTCACATGTGATACACAATCACACATATCAATAATGCTGGATCAAACCTTTTGTTTGATATTAGTGTTTTTAATAACACTCTGATAATAGTGTCACCGTTTTTGAACTTTGACCTGATCAGAATTTCATTCTATGTCGACGATTCTTATTATCTCAATCCCATCTTCGTTATTTTGCTCACAGGCTCTGTAAATTATGCATTATTAAAAAACACAAGTTTTTATAGTGATTGAATTTCCTAATGAAGCAGCGCCCTCTATAGTGTGATATGTATTTTTTTTAAAGTGAATTTTATGTAAATATTTGTAAAAATCATGTAACAAGAAATTAGTAAACACATTTTTCATGAACCCGTTGCCACTTTCTAGTTTTTTGACTTGTGTGTGAATCAGTAAAGGGAAGGCAGTCTATGGGATTAGATGCCCAAAGAAAATAAGCATGTTCTGGTTATGCACATTAGTTAAACATGCACATCACAGCGGATGAAAAGTCGGAAAATAGATTGCAGAGGACTTCAGTGTATTGTTCTCATGCTACTCAAACTGGCATTCACATTTGCATAAAAATAATAAGGAAATGATTGAATTAGTACTTATTTAATATTCTTATAAAATGAAGACAAGCAAGGCACGAATAATTAACCTATATTATAGTTAATAAATTCACTCTATGTTTTTACTGTAATTACATTATTTTTAATGAAAAAAGATTGTTGATAATAGGACAAATTTATAACACATCATGGACTGTTGAGTCATAAGTTTGTTGGGAATTTGAAAAAAGGTTGTGCAGAAAGTCGAACAATACTCGAAAAAAGCTGTGGGGATCTTTGTAAAATAATTTGCAAAGTTGTAATCAGATTGAAAGTCAATAGTAGATTTTGAAATGATAGAAGTTAGCTGGAAAGTCAAAAATGGTGGGTGGGAAGTCAAGCATTACATTGAAAATCTGCATCAAAGTCGAGAAGTTTTTTGAAAAGTTGCAAAATTCATAGTGCACTTGCAAAAGTTAGAAGAACAGTGAAAACAAGGAAAGTTGATTATGTCTGAATTAGGTAAAATTTGGCAGAATAAAAAGTCGAAAAAAAATAGATGACAGAAGTTAGCTGGAAAGTCGAAAATGTTGGATGGAAAGTCAAATAATACGTTGCAAAGGAGCAAACATCAGCTGCGAAGTCAAAAACATGTGGAAAGTCTAAAAAAAAGATTGCAGTTTTACAAGTAGGCAATTCAGAAGAAAGTTGTGTGGAAAGTCGAAAACTCTCTGGCAAAGTTGCAAAAGTAAGCTGAAAAAGTAAAAAAAAAAGTTATGTAGAAGGTTGAAAATATTTGATTTTTGGTGAGTAGTTGAAAATAGGTTGCCGGAGTACTTCTATTTATTTTTTTCATGCAGGTCAAACTCACATTTGCATAAATCCCAAATGCATATGCAAGTGATAATTTGCAAGTTTCCTAAGACACCATAGAGAGTTAATTGGTTTACCATCAATACATCTTCCATTCATAAAATACTTGTTTATTCAACTTTTCTGGTTTTATCAACTTGTGTTTTCGCGTTTAAAACTGTAGGATGAATGTAGAACTAATTTTTCCTTGTGAAAACTGGCCAAGACAAACCTAATATATTTTCAATGTATTCCATTTGAAATAAAGCTGGGTTGGAAGGTACTACCGTAGTTTTAACAGCCATGTAATTTGAAAATTAATCTTCAAAGATATTTGAGACAAATGTATTGCACCCTCATTTCTGGAATGAAATTGACAATTTATCTTTTGAACGAGCCTGCATTTTGCATAATTGATTTGATATTGGAATTCAATATATCTTAGATTTTGTTATAGATCTGGTAATCACCAGTATTTGAATGAATGGTCATAGACCTGACTTCCACAAGTATTTGAATGAATTAATGGTTACAGACTTGACTTCCACAAGTATTTTAATGATTGGATGGTTACAGACCTGACTTTCACC